GTGTTATAGCAAATGCATACTTCGGTTAATATAGTGACTGTTGATTGGTCGACAGGATGTGGACGTCATGGAGGAAATAGAGGTTGCCATTGGTTGAATTAAATATCTAATTATTTTTAGGTACTTGTTGCTTCGTATGGTGGTAGTTGTGGTAGGGGTGGTTGATGTGTTATTGGTTGTGGTAGGGTGGTTGATGTGGTAGTAGTTGTGGTAGGGGTGGTTGATGTAATTGTGGTTGTGTGGGTGGTTGATAATGGTAGGGTAGTTGATAATGGTAGAAGTTGGTTGATGTGGTAGGGGTGGGAGTTGTGGGGTAGTAGTTGTGGTAGGGGTGAGTTGATGTAGTAGTAGTTGTGGTGAGAATTGGTTGATTGGTAAGTGGATGATTAGTGGGGGTGGTAGTTTTAATGTAGTTGGTTAGAGTCAGGTCAAGTCAGTTCAGGTCAAATTTATAAGTATTTTCGATTACCGTCATTTATCGATTATTTTGTGTATCTTTTTGGAACATAATCGTAGGCCTCTCAAAATTTCGTAGGCCCTGGGCACTGTACTCACTCTGCCCCCTTGATAATCCGGCCCTGGTGGTAGTTGTGGTAGTGGAGGTAGTAGTGGTGGTGGTTGTTGTTGTGGTGGTGGTTGTTGTAGTGGTGGTGGTTGTTGTTGTAGTAGTGGTGGTTGTTGTAGTAGTGGTGGTTGTTGTAGTAGTGGTGGTAGTAGTAGTGGTGGCAGTGGTAGTAGTAGTAGTGGCAGTGGTAGTAGTAGTGGTGGCGGTGGTAGTAGTGGTGGTGGCAGTGGTAGTAGTGGTTGCAGTAATGTAGTAGTATTAGTAATTGGCAGTATTCAGTAGTAGTAGTGGTGGCAGTGGTGGTAGTGGTGGCAGTGGTGAGTAGTGAGTGGTGGCAGTGGTAGTAGTGGTGGTGGCGGTGGTGAGTGGTAGTGGTGGCAGTGGTTTGTAGTAGTAGTGGTGGCAGTGGCAGTAGTAGTGGTGGTGACAGTGTGGTGGCAGTAGTGGTGGTGGCAGTGGTAGTAGTAGTGAGTGGTGACAGTGGTAGTAGTAGTGGTGGTGGTGGCAGTGGTGGTAGTAGTGGTGGCAGTGGTAGTAGTGGTGGCAGTGGTAGTAGTAGTAGTGGTGAACAGTGGTAGTAGTAGTGGTGGCAGTGGTAGTAGTAGTGGTGGCAGTGGTAGTAGTGGTGACAGTAGTAGTAGTGGTGGTGACAGTGGTAGTAATGGTGACGGTAGTAGTAGTAGTAGTGGTGGCAATAGTAGTAGTAGTGGTGACAGTGGTAGTAGTGGTGTTGACAGTGGTACGTGGTAGTAGTGGTGACAGTGGTAGTAGTGGTAGTGTGGTGTGGTGGTGCGTGGTAGTAGTGGTGACAGTGGTAGTAGTGGTAATTAATTGGTGGCGGTGTTGGTCAGTAGTGGTGGTGGCTGATGGTAGTAGTGAGTGGTGGCAGTGGTAGTAGTAGTAGTGGTTGACGATGGTAGTAGTAGTGTTGGTAGTGGCAGTAGTGGTGGTAGTTGTGGTGGCAGTGGTAGTAGTAGTGGTGGTGGTGGTGGTAGTAGTGGTGGCAGTGGTAGTAGTGGTGGTGGTAGTAATGATGGTGGTGGCAATGGTATGGTGCGTTGTGGCAGTGTGTGGTAGTAATGGTGGTGGTGGTGTGTTAGTAGTAGTGGTGGCAGTGGTAGTAGTAGTGGTGGCGGTGGTAGTAGTAGTGGTGGCGGTGGTAGTAGTGGTGGTGGCAGTGGTAGTAGTAGTAGTGGTGGCAGTGGCAGTAGTTGTAGTAGTAGTGGTGGTAGTGGTAGTAGTAGTGGTTGTTATAGCCTTATATATACCACTAGACCACACACTACTTGCGCCACTTCCCCTCTTAATACCGTAAGTACCCGGTAGTGTCGTTCCGTGCCATTACTTGTGTTACTGCCACTTACTTATGCCACTTACTGCTACTTACGCCACTTCACGCCACTGTCTCCACTTGTGCCACTAACCTCAGTCTTATTTATGTTGGTGCCACTGTCCCCTTGTGAGTGCCACTGGCTGATTTGTGCTGTCTGTGTCTGTCTGTCTGTGTCTGTCTGTCTGTCTGTGTCTGTCTGTCTGTCTCTGTCTGTCTGAATGTCTATCTGTCTGTCTGTCTGTCAATCTGTCTGGCTGACTGTCTGTGTTTGTCTCTGTCTGTCTGTTTGTTTGTTTGTCTCTTGTCTGTCTGAATGTCTGTCTATCTGGCTGACTGTCTGTGTTTGTCTGTTTGTCTCTGTCTGTCTGTCTGTCTGTCAGCTCGAGTCTCTGATAAACTACGACGCCATGTTGTGTGTCCTTGGTCATGCTTGCTGGATGTCCTCTGACGTCACCGGCTGGCCAGGAAGTGACGTCACGTGATTAACTAGAAGAGTGGATTGTTAGGAATTGTTTACTCTCTCTCTCTCTCTCTCTCTCTGTCCCCGCTACTGAGTCGACCCCTTTCTACCCTTTTCCTCACCTTCCACCTTCCTCTTCCTTTCCCCCCCTTCCACCTATTCCTCTTGCTTTCACCCTTCCCTCCTTCCTCACCCCTTCCACCTTCCTCACCCCTTTCACCTTCCTCCCCTTTACCTTCTCCTTCCACCCTTCCTCACCTTCCACCTTCCTCACCCCTTCCTCCTTCCTCACCCCTTCCACCCCCCTTCACCAACCCCATGCTCATCAAACACACTCCCTCACCCCCTCAATTTATCTTATTTAAAACTACTACGAAGTTATTTTTTACGTTTTTTAGGTGAAAATTATATAAACTTTGCTATTTTTTATCGTATGAGGTGAAAATTATATAAACTTTCCTATTTTTTAGTGGAATTATTAATAAATATGTAACTATATTGTATTAAATGGAATGTATCTGTATGTAAACTCGTGTTGCATAAAAGAGAAAAAAAGAAATAAATCCGTTTTACATAAAAGAGAATATAGAGTAATTAAAATCGTGTTGCATAAAAGAGAACAAATTTAAACACGTTACATAAAAGAGAAAATTAAAAAATACATTCGTGTTACATAAAAGAGAAACTAATTAAATTCGTGTTACATAAAAGAGAAAATTAAAAAATACACTCGTGTTACATAAAAGAGAACAAACTAATTAAATTCGTGTTACATAAAAGAGAAAATTTAAAAAAAACACCCGTGTTACATAAAAGAGAAACTAATTAAATTCGTGTTACATAAAAGAGAAAATGAAAAAATACACTCGTGTTACATAAAAGAGAACAAACTAATTAAATTCGTGTTACATAAAAGAGAAACTAATTAAATTCGTGTTACATAAAATAGAAAAAATAAACAAATCCGTGTTACATAGATAAGTTAGTTGAGTGAATGGGCGTATGAGAGTTGAGATAATTAATTAGGCCAGGTGAGGGTGACCACCTGGGCGTAGTTCCCGTGAGACACTAACGCACACCTGCCTGGGGAATTAAGGGGACAATGGGGAGAATATACATGGTTATGAGTAGTTGTAGTAATTGTGGTTGTGTAATTGTGGTAGTAGTAGTTGTAGTAATGGTTTATTGATTTGTTGTAGTTCTGGTGGTTGTGGTATTGTGGTAGTAGTGGTGGTAGTGGTGGTAGTTGTTGTAGTAGTAGTGGTAATTGTGGTTGTTGTGGTAGTGGTAGTAGTAGTAGTTGTAGTTATGGTTGTGGTTGTTGTAGTTGTGGTGGTTGTGGTTGTTGTAGTTCTGGTGGTAGTAGTGGTAGTTCTGGTGGTTGTGGTAGTAGTGGTGGTTCTGGTGGTTGTGGTAGTAGTGGTAGTTCTGGTGGTTGTGGTAGTAGTGGTAGTTATGGTAGTAGTGGTGGTAGTTGTTGTTGTAGTAGTGGTAATTGTAGTTGTTGTAGTTGTGGTAGTAGTAGTAGTAGTAATGGTTGTAGTTGTGGTGGTTGTGGTTGTAGTAGTAGTTGTAGTAATGGTTGTAGTTGTTGTAGTTGTGGTGGTTGTGGTTGTAGTAGTGGTCAGATCAGATTCTCCCTTGACTAAACATAGTTCTAATCTTATTTCAGCCATTGATGTCTATAAAAGCTTTAAAGCATCATTCTAACCTTATTTTTAACCTTATTTCAGCCATAAATAATTCAAGACAAATTTTTAACCATATTTCAGCCATAAATGTCTACAAAAACCATGAAACATTATTTTAAACTATTTTTTCAGAGTTAAAACTGCATATTTATCCAACGGTTTATTTAACGATGTTTTATAATGGTTTATGTGATGTTAAATTGGGTTTATCGTGGTTTAAGGATATTAATCTGGTTTTATCGTGGTTTATGGATATTAATCTGTTTTATCGTGGTTTATGGATATTAATCTGGTTTTATCATGGTTTAAAGGACTGTAATCTGGTTTTATTATGGTTTAAAGGACATTATTCTGTTTTTTTCTCATGGTTTAAGGCAGTCTTTTTTTCTCATGGTTTAAGGTACACCAACAGGTTTTTTTCCACCATGGTTTAAGGTACATCAACAGGTTTTTTCCCCTGGTTTAAGGTACAAAACAATAACACCCATTCTTTCCATTACAGAGTTGCGGTCACAGCTTAACGAACAACTGCGGGCTCTAGATGGCAGAGTCGACACACAGACAGCCTTAGTGAATGAACTACAGGACTGGTTTAGGCGTCGAGCTGAACTCCATCAAGATTATGCAACTAAACTGGACAAGTTAGCGAAGAGTCTGCAAGCTAGACACAAGGAACAACGAATTAAGTAAGTGGTTTGGTGCTTGTAAAATACACCCGTACTCGTAAAATACACCCTTATTGCTCGTAAAATACACCCTTATTGCTTGTAAAAAATACACCCTTATTGCTCGTAAAATACACCCTTATTGCTCGTAAAATACACCCTTATTGCTCGTAAAATACACCCTTATTGCTCGTAAAATACACCCTTATTGCTCGTAAAATACACCCTTATTGCTCGTAAAATACACCCAATTTCCTCGTAAAATACACCCAATTTCCTCGTAAAATACACCCAATTTCCTCGTAAAATACACCCAATTTCCTCGTAAAATACACCCAATTTCCTCGTAAAATACACCCAATTTCCTCGTAAAATACACCCAATTTCCTCGTAAAATACACCCAATTTCCTCATAAAATACACCTTAATTTACTCGCAAAATGCAAACATCAAGGGACTCTGTAAACACAAACATCAAGGGACTCTGTAAACACAAACATCAAGGGACTCTGTAAACACAAACATCAAGGGGACTCTGTGAACACAAACATCAAGGGACTCTGTGAATAATTACCATACACTCTGACACATATATATAAACACAAGTGAGCATTCAACTTCAATTTAAGAATGACTTTGATATTTAGTTAAGGTTAAAATGTGTCTTAATTACACTACAGCTTGTGAACTCTTGAGGGCAATAATTTAAGTGTGAATCTGTTGTGGAAGGGTTGTGAATTGGTTGTGAAGCTTGTGTAAGGGTTGTAACTATTGGGAAGATTATATTAGTGTTGTGAATTGATTGTGGTTGTTGTGAATAGGTTGTGGGTGAGTTGTGTAAGAGTTTGGATGGGTTGTGAAAGGGTTGTGAAGGTCATAGTTGGATTGTGTAAGGGTTGTGACCGAGTTGTGATGTATGGAAGGTTATATAAGAGTTGTGAAAGTTGTATTAGTATTATTTAAGAGTTGTGATTGGGTTGTAACTGTAGTGAAGATTATATTCGTCTTATAAAGCAGTTTTTAATGGGTTGTAGAAAGAGGTTGTTACAGTGTTGTAGATATATAGTTATAGGTGACATTGGGTTGTGTTTTTAAAGTTAATGTAAGTTTGTGAGTGTTGTAGGTAATATTGATGATAGTGTTGTAATCTGGGTCGGTTGTAGGTAATAATCAGTAGAGGTTGTAGGTGTAATACAAAAAAAATACTGAAATACTGAGAAAATACTACGAAAAATACTCAAAATACTACGAAAATTACTCATAATACTCAAAAATACTTAAAAAATACTCAAAATAATGAGAATACTCAAATACTGCTAAAAATATCAAAATACTGCGAAAAATACCCAAAATACTACTAAAAATACTCAAATACTATGTAAAATACCAGAGAATACTCAAATACTGCGAAAAATGCTCAAAATACTACAAAAATACCTCAGAATGCAAAAAATACTGTAAAAATACTCAAAATACTACGAAAAATACTGAATACTCAAAATAACTGCTAAAAATACTCCAAATACTACGAAAAATACCAGAATACTCAAAATACTGCAAAAATACTCAAAATACTACGAAAAATACTCAGAATACTCCAAAATACTGCGAAAAATACTCAAAATACTATGAAAAATACTCAGAATACTACGAAAAATAGCAGAATACTCAAAATACTGCGAAAAATATCAAAATACTATGAAAATACTCAGAATACTCAAAATATTCTAAAAATACTCAAAATACTGAAATAATACTCATAATACTCTCTAAAATACTGACGTTATCACTGTCTTCCTGTGGGTAAATTCTCTGATCTAATTCTTAAAGGGTAACTGCTGGGGTGGATGTATAAAGGGTATTTAATGCTGAATAAATTTTTTTGTATTGTTGGCTATTCTTGAGGTGACCTTGACCTCGTAATTAAGGTCAAAGGTCATCATAAAGGTGTGGTTGGGTGTAAGAAATTGTTGTTAGCAATGTAGGTATACAGTCCACCATGTATACTAAACACAGGTATACAGTCCACCATGTATACTAACAAAACATTATTTTGACTATCACTTCACACCTTTCATTATTTACAAATCGACAAGAACTCGATCCCAGCTGCACCTCACACATCCCGATAACAGCTACACCTCACACATCCCGATAACAGCTACACCTCACACATCCCGATAACAGCTACACCACATCCCGGAGTAACAGCTGCACCTCACACATCCGATAACAGCTACACCTCACACATCCCGATAACAGCTGCACCTCACACATCCCGATAACAGCTGCACCCTACACATCCCGATAACAGCTACACCTCACACATCCCGATAACACAGACCTCACACATCCCGATAACAGCTGCACCTCACACATCCCGATAACAGCTGCGCCTCACACATCTCTTTACTTACAGACGGGAGCAGCTGCACCTGTTCAGTGTCTACAGCTGCTGGAACTCGTTAGTGAACCAGACTCAAAAGATGCCAGGGACCAATATGCTATGGCTGACGTCTATCTCAATAATGTCATTCCTAGATTTACACAAGTGCAAGATGATGTCCAGAGGATTTACAAAAGGGTAAGAGGGGATATGGTTATATTGGGATTAATTTGGTGTTTTTTGGTCATATTGGGATTAATTTTGGTGTTTTTTATATTGGGATTAATTTCGTGTTTTTTGGTCATTTTGGATTAATTTGGTGGTTTTTGTCATTTTGGGATTAATTTTGGTGTTTTTGTCATATTGGGATTAATTTTGGTGTTTTTTTATATTGGGATTAATTTTGGTGTTTTTTTATATTGGGATTAATTTTGGTGTTTTTTTGGTCATATTGGGATTAATTTTGGTGTTTTTTTTATATTGGGATTAATTTTGGTGTTTTTTGAGGTTATATTAAGATTAATATTTTCTTTGGTTATTTTGTAATAAATTCTGCTGTTTCTAATCTAACAGACCCTTGATATAATGGGCCCATGATATACTGGACCCTTGATATAATGGGCCCTTGATATACTGGACTCTTGATATAATGGGCCCATGATATACTGGACCCTTGATATAATGGGCCCATGATATACTGGACCCTTGATATAATGGGCCCATGATATACTGGACCCTTGATATAATGGACTTTCATCTCCAAATACTTCGTTATATGGAGGTTTCACATCTAACGAACCCTCGATATAACGAACATTCCTCTCCAAATACTTCGTTATATGGCGGTTTCACATCTAACGGAACCCCAATATAACGAACATTCCCCAAATAACCCGTTAAATATAGATCATGATATAGCCTAGACCCCAGTACTCTGAATCTAACGTCCGAAAAACAATTCCAGTGTCGAGAAATTGGTTACGAGAGCCACGAAGAACTGCTCAAGGTACTACATGAGCTTCACACTACCATGAGAACATATCATACTTATCAAACCGAGTTCAAGAATGCCGAGACTAAGCTGCGGAATTTCGAAGCCCAGAGGAGTAAGCTTGAGCAGGCTATCCCTAAGGAGAAGCTTGAAAAGAGCAAGAAGTTTCGAGTCATTGAGAAGGAGATTCAGAAGGTAAGAATTTAAGCTGGGGTTTGGATTCAAGCTGGGATTTGGATTCTAGCTGGGGTTAAAATTTAAGCTAGGGTTTGGATTTATGCCGTGGTTAAGGTTAAGCTGGAGAAGAGTAGGGAGGTAAGACTAAGCTGAGGGTAGGAATAAGCTGTAGGTATACAAGTAAGGTAGGTATACAGTGTACCTAGACAGTGTAGGTATACAGTGTACCTAGACAGTGTAGGTATACAGTGTACCTAGACAGTGTAGGTATACAGTGTACCTAGACAGTGTAGGTATACAGTGTACCTAGACAGTGAAAGTACACAAACAACATACGTACACAGTGAAAGTATACAAAGAAAATATAAATTAAAATTCCTACTCAAGTAAATACCAACAGAGCGACATATTGCAACAAAACAAAGAAACACAATAATAACAATATGGCATTTAAAATATAATAGGAGTCATTTTTAAAGGCAATATGTCAATTAGGTTATAATAGGTGTGGTAATTATGGGTTAATGGTGTGTTATAAGATGCCAGAATACAGTAGGTTTATTTTGTAATGTGAATAATACAGTAGTTGTATTAATAAACCACTAATACAACATTTACAATACAGTAGTTGTATTAATAAACCACTAATACAATCAATTTATTTCTTAATTTCTGATGCACTTACACTCGACAGCGGAGTAGCAAGTACATGGATGCCAAACTCAAGGCACTCAAGGCCAGGAATGAGTACATCCTGTCAATGGACTCGGCCAACGCTGCTATCCACAAGTACTTCGTTGAGGATCTGTCGGATATTGTGGATGTGAGTACTGAGTGGATGGTGGTGGTTGTGTGTGTGGGTAGTATGTGGGGAGGAGGGGTTGTGTGGGTGTTTGTGTGAGAATTGCTGTTGTTTGTGTGAGAATTGCTGTTGTTTGTGGGAGAATTGTTGTTGTTTGTGGGAGAATTGTTGTTGTTTGTGGGAGAATTGTTGTTGTTTGTGGGAGAATTGTTGTTGTTTGTGTGAGAATTGTTGTTGTTTATATGAGAATTGTTGTTGTTTATATGAGAATTGTTGTTGTTTGTGGGAGAATTGTTGTTGTTTGTGTGAGAATTGTTGTTGTTTATATGAGAATTGTTGTTGTTTATATGAGAATTGTTGTTGTTTGTGTGAGAATTGTTGTTGTTTATATGAGAATTGTTGTTGTTTATATGAGAATTGTTGTTGTTTGTGTGAAAATTGTTGTTGTTTGTGTGAGAATTGTTGTTGTTTGTGTGAGAACAAATCCTTATATAGCTTTATGCTCAATAGAATGTATATAATGAACAGATGTCCTTAGCCCATATTTATATAATATTAATATGTGACAGAGACTAAGTCAAACCTCCTGAGTACATTAATTTACCCCTTGAGTACAATGACATCCTCTAGAGTACAATTCTAATCTGTTCTTTGAGTAACAAGTGCTGTGAGTGTGTGTTGTAAATGACTTGTTATTGAGTACGTGATTTAACAACAGTTGTGATTGAGTACGTAATTTAACAGGACTTGTTATTGAGTACGTGATTTAACAACAGTTGTGATTGAGTGCGTAATTTAACAGGACTTGTTATTGAGTACGTGATTTAACAACAGTTGTGATTGAGTGCGTAATTTAACAGGACTTGTTATTGAGTACGTGATTTAACAACTGTTGTGATTGTAAGTTGTAACAAATGCTATTAATCTACAGCATTATAACTATGATATATTTGTGACAAATCGCAATTGATTCTACACCATAACAAGCATAACAACAACAATTCTCCCACAAACAACAACAATTCTCCTAAACAACAACAATTCTCCTAAACTAACAACAATTCCCACACAACAACAAATTCTCACCAAACAACAAATTCTCACAAAACAATAATTCCAAACAACAACCCCAAACAACAATTCTCCACAAACAACAACAATTCTCCCACAAACAAACAACAATTCTCACAAACAATAACAATTCTCCCTATCTTCCAGTGTATGGATTTTGGATTCCATAGCAGCATCCAAACCCTCTAACCCGTCTCGAGGAATGCCTTAGAAGAGCCTGCAGAGCGGAATCGGCAAATCAACAAATCCATCAACAACCTGGACTCGAGGTTGGATAAACAGAGATTCCTCGAGTTCAACAACGGCTTTATGCTCGAAAATTGAGTTCAGGGCACAAAGATGGTGAAGGAAAATTGGGATGGTTTGAGGCGTTGGTGGTTTTTAGGTTCGAGGATGTTTTTGATGGGGGTTGCGGTGTGGTGTTTTTTAGGTTAGGATTATGTTTTTCGATGGGGTTACGGTGGTGTTTTTTTATGTGTTACCTCGGTTTAGCCTCAACCTTCCTTGAGTGGTTGTTTGAGAATTAGTTATGCTAAGTATGCACTCTAGATTAGTCTACCTCAAGTGCTTACCTGAATTCCCCTCCTCCCTCCCTCCTCTAAACTATCTCAAAGTGTCTAATCAGGTCATCCTAAAGGTCAAAATAACAAATATTCTCAATCATAAATTCACCTTGACGACATAACAAATAAATAATAAATCCTCGTGAAACAAATAATTTAAAACATTTGAATAAAAAATAAATAATTTACCTCACAAACTTTAACCAATTTATTTATTTTAATTAACCAACTATATATTAATAAATTTTCAAAGTAATTTATTATGTAAAAATCAATTATTAATTTATGTAATCCATTTATAATTGCAATTTATATATACACGCAAACATGTGATTCGAACCCTTGTACTTATAAGCTCAACATGTGGATTCAACCCACTTTTACGCCAAACATGTGGATTCGAACCCTTGTTCTATAAGCTAAACATGTGATTCGAACCCCTTGTTCTTATGCTGCAACATGTGATTCGAACCCTTGTTCTTATAATGCAACATGTGGATTCGAACCCTTGTTCTATGCTGCAACATGTGATTCGAACCCCTTGTTCATATGTTGCAACATGTGGATTCGAACCCTTGTACTTATGCTGCAACATGTGGATCAGAACCCCTTGTTCATATGCTGCAACATGGGATTCAGAACCCCTGTACTTATGCTGCAACATGTGGATTCGAACCTCTGTAATGCGATCTTGGGATTCTAATGCTTTGTTTTGGGATTAAATCATGAATTTATTGAGTTTCATTCATCTATACTTGGTTTAATATGTCTATAATTACTGTTTCTATAACTACTGCCTCTGTGTACTGTCTCTGTAGCTACTGTCATAACTACTGCTCTGTGTACCGTCTCTGTAGCTACTGTCTTTAACTACTGCCTCTGTGTACTGTCTCTGTAGCAACTGTCTATAACTACTGTCTCCTGTAGCTACTGTCTATAACTACTGCCTCTGTGTACTGTCTATAGCTAATGTCTGTCTACACTTTCATCCTTCCATACTATATTTATTCTGTCTCTATAACTACTGTCTATGTACTTCCTCTGTGTACTGTCTGGAGCTACTGCCTCTCATGCCACTTACCATTTCCTCAGTGTTTCAAAGTTATTTTCATTATTTAATTATTATTATTATTATCATCACTTTTCAATGGCTACTTTCCAAACTTGCTTATGTCACCTCTGATTGCCTGACAGCTTAGTACAAACCACTTAATCAACTGAGTCAATCAGAGTACCAGTCCCTATGTCTGAGGGTTGGCACCACAGTCCTCCAATCTAAAAAGTTCTCGGCTGTTTTTATCAATCTAAGAATTTGTTTGTCTCTTGGGAGTCCATTTTAATTTCATTCATCCATCCTAGTTTCTGTTTTCCTATGGCCCTTCTATTATGCCTCTGCCATGGCCCTTCTACCCTGGCCATCCTAACCTCACTTTTTACCCTTTATTGTTTGTTGTTATTCCCTCATTCTAATTATATGACCAAAGTATCTCATATTTTTATTTGTATTTCAAGTATTTCTCTGAATTTTGTTTTCGATAGTTACCCCCAAAGTTCTCTCTCTCCTGCTCAACCACGAATTCCAAAGATTCAGACTGTGAACCCGAATCCTTTATGGCCAGAACATTGCATCGTCACTGCTCTGGGTTCACGAATCTGAATCTCGGCTCATTAATCCTAACCCAAGTTAATGAACTAACCGGGGTTGTTTTAACATCGAGACGACGGATTCCTGTCGTGACTCATAATATTTACCTACTCGTTTATGGATTCGAGTGTGTGGCAGGCACTGTCTTTACCCCAGTGCCAGACTCACGAGGACCCAACACAGTACAGGTGAACCAGGTGGTCGTCAATCGCCAAGTCCAAGAGGAGATGGAAAACGTTACGCCCATCTGGTCTCGCCACCAGCCTCAAGACCCAGTCGAGGAGACTTGGAAGACCATAGAGACCGCAGAGAAGACCCTAATGGAGATGATCAATCAGAGGGACTAACGATTGCAAGCGATTATTTCATCGACGAGCCATGATGGATAAATAAGCCCGAGTCGATGCTTATCAAGATGAAATAACCGACAGGAAACCTAGATTTTACCTGAGTGTGAGTTTGAGTCTTGTTCAGGGTTGAGAGTTTAGGATTTTCTTCAGGATTTAGAAAGTTTTTGAAGATTTTATTCAGCATTTAGAAAGTTTTTAAAGAATTTGTTGACGATTAGAAGTTTTGATGATTTTGTAAAGCATTTAGAAAGTTTTTAAAGAATTTGTTGATGTTTTAGAAAGTTTAAAGATTTGTTGATGATTTAGAAAGTTTTAAGATTTGTTGACAATTTAGAAAGTTTATATAGATTTTTGTTAATGATTTAGAAAGTTTTGAATATTTTGTTCATTTAGAAAGTTTTTGAAGACTTTCCTTAGTGTATCGAAAGTCAGTTCATCATTTAGAAATTTAAGAAGACTTTTGCATTACAGTATCGACTCGGTTCAACATTAACACTTATAAAATCTTGACCCTAAACTAAAACATTTTCAGAAAATTCCGTGAGTACACCGCAGCAACACCCTCATCACACGCCTTCAAGCACGCTATTTAACTGATGCGAAAGTCCTTGGCGGAGACACAGACCACGTCCTCCCCACGCCCAAAGGTTCGTGGTTACGGATGTTGTTGATGAAAGATGTGTAATCCGCCGTTTATGTGGATAGGGTTTACTATGTCGGATTGATCGGATACTTGGTATATTAGATGTGGATAAATCTCTATCCATTTATTTGTCTGCCATCAATAATAGATGATAAATCTCTCTTCTTCCTATCTCTCTCTCTCTCTCTATCCATTTATTTGTCGACCACGTTATCCACCAACGCAGAAACTTGGTAAACAAAACTCGCCACGACGATCGGGCGAAACTTCTGATGGACAACCTAAGCTGTCTGGTGGGTCGCCGAGGAATACCTTGAAGCCACTGGGTCAAGATATACCTTAATTATGAAGTCTTGCATTAGGGTCATCAATCTGTATGGTAAGTAGATGCTGTGGGGGAGGTGTGTGTGTGTGTGTGTGGGGTAAATATATATAAAAAGGTAGGTATGTATGTATAGATGTATATATATCCATGTATGTGAGTGTCTATAGGTGTATATGTATAAAAATGTATAAATCTAAGTAGTATACATCCTTTACCACCATGAACTAACACTCAAAGACGACTGAGGAGAATCCCGTCGCACTAAACAAATCTGATAACTATCGTACCTCCTCAGGATTGCACCACCAAGGATCTTCAGGGTGTCGGTTCAGAGGTGGAGATCAACAACTTCAGGAGTCGTTCGAGAGGATGGAGGATCCTCTGGCTGACGTTACTGGCGCCGGACATCAACAGTGTGGCCGGAGTGTTGAAACTCTACCTTAGAGCTTAGGGAACCTCTTTCCCCAACGATTCTTCACCAGTTTATGGAGATTGCCCGTGAGTCGTTGTAGCGTGAGGTGTATTGACTTACTATTGATTTCTTACGGATTTTGCTGTTTTTAGGAATTAAACTCAACGTAAATTAGTTCGTTAGTTTGTTTGTGAATTGTTATCATGTGTCCTTGATATACGGATTGATTTACGCGATTTTTGCTGTTTTTAAGAATTAAACTCGGTAAATTCGTTCGTTGAGTTTGTTAGTTAATTGTTACTGTGTGTTCCTTGATATACCTAATTGATTTACGTGATTTTGCTGTTTTTTAGGAATTAAACTCCACGAATTAGTTCGTTGAGTTTGTTAATGAATTGTTATCATGTGTCCTTGATATACGGATTGATTTGCGTGATTTATAGGAATGAAACCACGAAATTAGTTTTTATGAGTTGTTTTGATCTGTTGATTATATGTGGGAGTTCTTGATTTACTAATTGATTTCATTAATGAGACCTCGATTAAATCAGGTTCAGAATAGATTATTCATGAGTTGATAAGATTTCATAGCACTGTATTGACCCAGACTCTCTCCCCCACCACCTCACAGCCCTAGAGAAGAAACCACGACTGCAGGTAAAGATCGTGGTGACTAGTCTTCTCGGTTCGTTAGTCATGCGTACCTCTTTAGCGCTCCTTAACCAGTAAGTAAACAAACCAAGTCTAGGGTTGTAGCGGAACTTACAAACGAAGGTACATTAGGGTACTCTAGGATGCATTGTAACTTAGTAAACAAAGCTACATTAGGCACATTCTTGTTATGCATTGTAACTTAATTAACAAAGGATGCGTTATAGCACACTAGTTATGCATTGTAACTTAATAAACGAAGGTACATTAGGGTAACTCATTCAAATTCATCTTAACCGAGGATGTCCGATGAATTTCAAAATAAACACCAGACTTCGATTTCTCACCAGGGTTGCAAAACACTTCAACCAATTGTCATCGTGAAACATAAAATCGCCAAGACAATTTTTAGAGCGAAGTTTTTTAGGGTGAATAAAAAATAACTAAAAAAATAACTGATTTTGTGAATTTATTAAGATTGTAATAAATTTGAGTAAAAGATATAATTTAAGTTTTATTTATTACAGGTAGTTATTCAGTAGTTTAAGGTGCTTGTGTATAATTTATTCGTGATAAAATGTAAGTAAGTTTATTTTATAGTTTGTTACTTACATCTACTTAAATACACTTAATATTGTGATATAAGTTAGTTTTAATTTATCGTCTGTTTCTTATATCTACTAAATACACTTAATATTGTGATATGTTATTGTTTCATTGCGATTATTTAAAGAATTCTCCCACTTAATTTAGTAGTATTTTAAGAAGCCACAGTGTTTACTTCATTACTTATATATACTTAAAGAACACTTAATTGAATGTTATAAGTAAGACAGTCCATCATTTTTCACTTACAAATACTTATAAATATTTAAATTAATGTCATAAGTAACTAGTCCATTGTTTATCACTTACAAATATTAAAAACAATTAAATTAATGTTATAAGTATTATTCTCACTTACAAACACTTAAACAATATTCTCTACTCTTCACCACAATTACAAGCTTCTCTCTCTCTTTTACAGGTACTTTAACGGCTGCACCGTGGGCTGGTGTGGTGCCCATAGTACATCCTTCTTTACTCACACAGCCAAACTATCTCTCTCCATAACAAGGTTTTATTTCCCGGAGTTTGTCTGAATTCTTTTATTTTCCGCAGTTTGTCTGAATTCTTTTATTTTCCCGCAGTTTGTCTGAATTCAGCCGAAAAACATGATGGATCCGCACAACCTGCCATCTGTTTTGGGCCAACACTAGTTCCCATACCTGAGGAGGACAAGGTAATTACTCTTATTACTAGGAAAAGGTGGAGAATGAAACACCCAGACAAGAACAAGAGAAGCGTGTAAATAGCTTCTTGATATTTACCTGAAGCTGCTACGCCGGAATTATTAAATTTTTTTTATTTTTTTATTATTTTTTCGTTCTGACGGATTTGTCGAGTCATTTATTATTATCATATCGGTAATTTAGTTGAAAGTTTGTTGTTGTTGGTTAGGTTAGGTTAGTTTATGTTACGTTAGTTTAATGTTATATTACGTTAGGTTACGTTGGGATAACTAACATAATAATAACCCACTTCTTACAGGTCCAGTACCAAATTTAGTTAGGTTACGTTAGGTTATTGTTGTGTTAGGTTATGTTACGTTAGGTTACGTTGGGATAACTAACATAATAACAACCTACTTTTACAGGTCCAGTACCAAAATTTAGTTAGGTTACGTTTGGTTAATGTTGTGTTAGGTTATGTTACGTTAGGTTGACGCTTGGGATAACTAACATAATAACAACCTACTTCTTACAGGTCCAGTACCAAAATTTATTAGTTACGTTAGGTTATTGTTGTGTTAGGTTATGTTACGTTAGGTTACGTTGGGATAACTAACATAATAATAAACCCACTTCTTACCAGCAGTCACCAAAATTTGGTTAGGTTACTTAGGTTATTGTTGTGTTAGGTTATGTTACGTTAGGTTACGCGGATAACTAACATAATAATAACCCACTTCTTACAGGTCCAGTACCAGAATTTAGTGAACGAGCTGATCAAGAACATCATCATCTTTAGCGAGGACATCTTCCTAGCGACGGGCGCCACACCCACAGAAATACATCTCCCGTGACTCCATAGACCTTGAGGCCGAGGTGGGGACGCCTTCAGGGGCTCACGACGGACGTCGACTAACCGCCAATCGGAGGACGGTAAGTCGTGAATTGGTACCGGTTTATGTGATGTTTTCCTGGATCGTTGAGCGAGTTATTTCATCTATATTGATGTTTTAATGAGGTAGTCAAGGAGTAAGTTTATCTATATTGATGTTTTAACGAGGTAGTTAAGTGAGTTCATCAACGTCGACGTCTGATTTAACAGGAGCCATTTTTCTTGTTTTCATGAATTGTCGTATAAAAAATATCCCATTGCTTTTATTACACTGATATCCTGCATTATCCGAGATGCCGCTTAACCCGTAAATTGTATCCGTTCGCCTTTTCACTATCCGAAAACCCTATTTCATGTAGTGTGTTTGTGTGTTTGCTTTGCTTGTGATTAATTTATTTGTTTTTGTTTTTTGCGTTTGTTTAATTGTTTTTGCCAATAATTTGCTTTTGTTACAGCTAATGTATTTGTTTGTTGGTCTGAGGTTAGTGGACTTTGAGACACCCTGTACAGTATGGCACACTACTTATGACACCACCTGTACAGTATATATATGACCTATGACACACCCTGTACAGTATATATGACCTATGACACACCCTGTACAGTATATATGACCTATGACACACCCTGTACAGTATATATATGACCTATGACACACCCTGTACAGTATATATATGACCTATGACACACCTGTACAGTATATATGACCCTATGACACACCCTGTACAGTATATATGACCATGACACACCCTGTACAGTATATATGACCTATGACACCCTGCACAGTATGACCAAAACCCTGCACAGTATATATGACCTATGACACACCCTGCACAGTATATATGACCTAGACACACCTGTACAGTATATAGACATGACACACCCTGCACAGTATATATGACCATGACACACCCTGTACAGTATATATGACCTGACACACCCTGTACAGTATATATGACCTATGACACACCCTGTACAGTATATATGACCCAGACACACCCTGTACAGTATATATATGACCCATGACACACCCTGTACAGTATATATGACCTATGACACACCCTGTACAGTATATATGACCTATGACACACCCTGTACAGTATATATATGACCTATGACACCCTGTACAGTATATATGACCTATGACACACCCTGTACAGTATATATGACCTATGACACACCCCTGTACAGTATATATATGACCTATGACACACCCTGTACAGTATATATGACCTATGACACACCCTGTACAGTATATATGACCTATGACACACCCTGTACAGTATATATGACTCACGACACACCCTGTACAGTATATATGACCTAACACACCCTGTACAGTATATATATGACCTATGACACACCCTGTACAGTATATATGACCTATGACACACCCTGTACAGTATATATGACCTATGACACACCCTGTACAGTATATATGACCTATGACACACCCTGTACAGTATATATGACCTATGACACACCCTGTACAGTATATATATGACCTATGACACACCTGTACAGTATATATAACCTATGACACACCCTGTACAGTATATATATGACCTATGACACACCCCTGTACAGTATATATGACCTATGACACACCCTGTACAGTATATATGACTTAGCACACCCTGCAGTATATATGACCCAGACACACCCTGTACAGTATATATATGACCTATGACACACCCTGTACAGTATATATATGACCTATGACACACCCTGTACAGTATATATGACCTATGACACACCCTGTACAGTATATATGACCTATGACACCCTGTACAGTATATATGACCTATGACACACCCTGTACAGTATATATGACCTATGACACACCCTGTACAGTATATATGACCTATGACACACCCCAGCAGTATATATGACCTATGACACACCTGTACAGTATATATATGACCTATGACACACCCAGTATATATGACCTATGACACACCCTGTACAGTATATATATGACCTATGACACACCCTGTACAGTATATATGACCTATGACACACCCTGTACAGTAAGACCTGCAGTATATATGACCTATGACACACCCTGCACAGTATATATGACCTATGACACACCCCTGTACAGTATATATGACCTATGACACACCCTGTACAGTATATATGACCTATGACACACCCTGCACAGTATATATGACCTATGACACCCCCTGTACAGTATATATATGACCTATGACACACCCTGTACAGTATATATGACCTATGACACCCTGTACAGTATATATGACCTATGACACACCCTGTACAGTATATATATGACCCATGACACACCCTGTACAGTATATATGACCTATGACACACCCTGTACAGTATATAAGACCTAGACACACCCTGTACAGTATATATATGACCTATGACACACCCTGTACAGTATATATGACCTATGACACACCCTGTACAGTATATATGACCTATGACACACCCTACAGTATATATATGACCTATGACACACCCTTACAGTATATATGACCTATGACACCCTGTACAGTATATATGACCTATGACACACCCTGTACAGTATATATGACTTCATACACCCTGTACAGTATATATGACCTATGACACACCCTGTACAGTATATATATGACCTATGACACCCTGTACAGTATATATGACCTATGACACACCCTGTACAGTATATATGACCTATGACACACCCTGTACAGTATATATGACCTGACACACCCTGTACAGTATATATGACCTATACACACCCTGTACAGTATATATATGACCTATGACACCCTGTACATATATATGACCTATGACACACCCTGTACAGTATATATATGACCTATGACACACCCTGTACAGTATATATGACCTATATACACCCTGTACAGTATATGACCTATGCACACCCTGTACAGTATATATGACCTATGACACATTACAGTATATATATGACCTATGACACACCCTGTACAGTATATATGACCTATGACACACCCTGTACAGTATATATGACCTATGACACACCCTGTACAGTAAATATGACTTACGACACACCCTGTACAGTATATATGACCTATGACACACCCTGTACAGTATATATATGACCTATGACACACCCTGTACAGTATATATATGACCTATACACACCCTGTACAGTATATATGACCTATGACACACCCTGTACAGTATATGATATGACACACCCTGTACAGTATATATGACCTATGACACACCCTGTACAGTATATATGACCTATGACACACCCTGTACAGTATATATGACCTATGACACACCCTGTACATTATATATGACTTACGACACACCCTGTACAGTATATATGACCTATGACACACCCTGTACAGTATATATATGACCTATGACACCCTGTACAGTATATATATGACCTATGACACACCCTGTACAGTATATATATGACCTATGACACACCTGTACAGTATATATGACCTATGACACACCCTGTACTGTATATATGACTTACGACACACCTTGTACAGAATATATGACCTATGACACACCTGTACAGTATATATGACTAATGACACACCCTGTACTGTATATATGACTTACGACACACCCTGTACAGTATATATGACCTATGACACACCCTGTACAGTATATATATGACCTATGACACACCCTGTACTGTATATATGACTACGACACACACCTTGCAGTATATATGACTTACGACACACCCTGTACATGTTGTTGTAGCATGTAACTTATTCAATCAATGATCGATCATAGTCTCCGATGCCTGATCAAACATCTTTAGGAGTATTGACAGAAACATTTCAGTACAGTAGAACGTTAATGTAGTTGTGTTAAGGTGATCGTTAGAGGCAGACCTAATTTACCTTGTCTTCGGCTGAGAATTGATTGATTTTGAGAAATTTTACTTGTACTATCCATCCTAACCTAACCTAAACCTACCTAACGTAACTAACCTAACCCTAACGTAACGTAACCTAACCTAACCCTAAACCTACCTAACGTAACCTAACTTAACCCTAACGTAACCCACACTAACCTAATCTACCCCAACCCTAACCTAACCCTAACGTAACCTAACCTAACCTAGCATCACAACCCAACCCAACCTAACCTAACCCTAACCTAGCAACGCGTCAAGCAATTAAAACCCAAATAACCTTAACTAATCGGCCATTACCCAAGACGACACACACACAACTAGACCACCTAACGACTCTCCGCACCAGTTAGTATACTTGTTTTGTTCACGTGCATGTTGTTTGATCGTGTCTTTATGCTTTCGTTGCAGATTCTGTGTTTAGAGACAGAGACATTACGCTACAGATCTTTGGAAGTAAGTTCATCTGTTTTGTGTGCTAGCGAAACCTTGATATAATGGATTTTTCTCAATATAGTTCGTTATATTGAGGTTTTAATCCAGACCCTCGATAATGGACTTTCATCTCTATATAGTTAGATTATATGGAGGTTTTGCATCTAATGGAACCTTGATATAATGGATTTTTCTCCAATAGTTCGTTATATTGAGGTTTTTACATCTAATGGACCCTCGATATAATGGACTTTCATCTCTATATAGTTCGTTAAATTGAGGTTTTAGTCCCGAACCTCGATATAATGGACTTTCATCTGTATATAGTTCGTTATATTGAGGTTTTACTTTTTGTTTAGTTTTGCTTGTTTGTGTGTTTGTTTGTTTGTTGTTTCTATTTGGATCAACTAGTACATTAGCCCCCCTCCCCCCATCAGCTTAAGTCACCTGATGGTTAAAAAATATAATGCTTCCTGGGGTTAGGTTAGGTTGCAGTAAGCTTGCTCTAAACTTTCCCCAGATGACTAAAGCTTATCCTAAACTTTCCCCAGATGATTAAAGCTTTCCCAAAATTTTCCCCAAATGACTAAGCTTTCCCAAAATTTTCCCCAAATAATTAAAGCTTTCCCCAAAATTTTCCCAAATGACTAAAGCTTATCCTAAACTTTCCCCAACAGAGGCGAGATTCTTGAAGCCATCGCACAGTTTGACTTCAACGCCGGTCTGAACAGCGAACTAAGCTTCAACAAAGGCGATGTCCCGTTCTACCTCCCAGGTCTCTGAAGGCAAACAGCCTCATTCCAGACAAGTATATACTGCAAGATTAGGTAAGTCCAGAGGCAGTTCAGGTGAATGGTAAGAACTAGGATGATTTACGGCGCTTCGTTTAGGTCCCTGGGTGTCGTTGGTTAGATCGCGCCTCTAGTTCACCCAGTTAAACTGGTACCATGGCTTAGTATACGTTGTACTATATCCACACCGCCTCTGATAAACAATCGTGTCTCCAAGTTCTTTGTTTTATAGTTTAATTACTTTTATATTTAGCTTCCCTCATTTTAGCTGCAGGTGTGTGTTAATGATAGCTGTAAATAGTTTGTTTAGCTTTTCTCGATAATTTAACTGTAGGTGTGTGTGTGTGTATGTGCTTAGGTTTATAGCTTCCTTCATCATACTTTAGCTGTAGGTGTTTGTGTTAATGATAAGCTTAATTAATTTTATATTTAGCTCTCATCTCGATAATTTAACTGTAGGTGTGTGTGTTAATGATAGCTTAGGTTTATATTTAGCTTTCCTCATCATATTTTAGCTGTAATAAGTAAGTTATATTACAGAGATGAAGACAAAGACCGTCTGAGTGATCGGAGGCGGAAGTCCCACGAATGGCTTCCTCATCCTCGAGTCCATCTTATCATCCTCCACACAACAGTCCTCCGGTCATCCGGCCACGTCGCTGTGGCGGCCCAGCCCTCTCCTCCCGGCCTCAATGCAGAGTCATAAGTGCCTATAGCGCTTCCCCCAACCCCCCCCCTCACCACTGAATACATTCGTTGGTGAATTTAACCCGACTCGCTTCCATGGCGCTAGTTAATCTTAGGTTATGCATTGTATTTAATCGCATAGTTTAGGCCTGTGCATGTTGTGTAGCGTGAGATTATCACACAGTGTGGGGCAGGCGGGGTAATGACGCTCCATCTTGCCCACGGTGGACGTCACGCTCGTTGACGGACTTAAATCTCCCGTCCTGTCCATGCGTGTGGGGGATGTGCCGGCGTTGGACCCATTACCACTTTTATTCCCCTTCCTGGGACTCTTGTGGGAGCCCAGTGAGCATGACAGGCTAGGCGGTGCCTCCTCCTCGCTGGGGCTAGACTCGGCGGGGCGTCGGACGGGGCACAAGCAGGCGGGGGGCGCCCGACCTCTCCGCTGCAGGCACCCCAGGGCAGGCCTCCTCCCCACCCCCCCACACTCCCTTCAACACGGGGCTTCTCTCCCTCTCAGATGTGTCAATGCTCGTGTCCACACAGAGGAGGTAACATCTTAGTTGGTGTGTTAGGAAGAGTTTATTAAGTTCTTTTGGTTAATTTTCTTGTTTAAGTTTAATATTGTCGGGTTAGTCAAGATTTTTTGGAGGAAGCCGTGCTTGTAGCGGACAACACTGGGGCCTCACCTCACCAACAGGGGCAGTCAGTGGTGGTGAAGGAAGACACAGTGTTTGTTATATACTACACAACACTGGGGCCTCACCTCACCAACAGGGGTCTAGATCAGTGGTGGTGAAGGAAGACACAGTGTTTGTTATATACTACACAACACTGGGGCCTCACCTCACCAACAGGGGCCTAGATCAGTGGTGGTGAAGGAAGACACAGTGTTTGTTACACACACAACACTGGGGCCTCACCTCACCAACAGGGGTCTAGATCAGTGGTGGTGAAGGAAGACACAGTGTTTGTTATATACTACACAACACTGGGGCCTCACCTCACCAACAGGGGTTAGATCAGTGGTGGTGAGGGAGACACAGTGTTTGTTATATACTACACACACACTGGGGCCTCACCTCACCAACAGGGGCCTAGATCAGTGGTGGTGAAGGAAGACACAGTGTTTGTTATATACTACACAACACTGGGGCCTCACCCCCTCACCAACAGGGGTCTAGATCAGTGGTGGTGAAGGAAGACACAGTGTTTGTTATATACTACACAACACTGGGGCCTCACCTCACCAACAGGGTCTAGATCAGTGGTGGTGAAGGAAGACACAGTGTTTGTTATATACTACACAACACTGGGGCCTCACCTCACCAACAGGGGCCTAGATCAGTGGTGGTGAGGAGACACAGTGTTTGTTATATACTCACAACACTGGGGCCTCACCTCACCAACAGGGTCTAGATCAGTGGTGGTGAAGGAAGACACAGTGTTTGTTATATACTACACAACACTGGGGCCTCACCTCACCAACAGGGGTCTAGATCAGTGGTGGTGAAGGAAGACACAGTGTTTGTTATATACTACACAACACTGGGGCTCACCTCACCAACAGGGGCCTAGATCAGGGTGGTGAGAAGGAAGACACAGTGTTTGTTATATACTACACAACACTGGGGCCTCACCTCACCAACAGGGTCTAGATCAGTGGTGGTGAAGGAGGCACAGTGTTTGTTATATACTACCACACTGGGGCCTCACCTCACCAACAGGGTCTAGATCAGTGGTGGTGAAGGAAGACACAGTGTTTGTTATATACTACACAACACTGGGGCCTCACCAACAGGGGTCTAGATCAGTGGTGGTGAAGAGACACAGTGTTTGTTATATACTACACAACACTGGGGCCTCACCTCACCAACAGGGGTCTAGATCAGTGGTGGTGAAGGAAGACACAGTGTTTGTTATATACTCACACAACACTGGGGCCTCCTCACCAACAGGGGTCTAGATCAGTGGTGGTGAAGGAAGACACAGTGTTTGTTATATACTACACAACACTGGGGCCTCCACCTCCAACAGGGGTCTAGATCAGTGGTGGTGAGGAAGACACAGTGTTTGTTATATACTACACAACACTGGGGCCTCACCTCACCAACAGGGGTCTAGATCAGTGGTGGTGAAGGAAGACACAGTGTTTGTTATATACTACACACAACATGGGGCCTCACCTCACCAACGGGGGTCTAGATCAGTGGTGGTGAAGGAAGACACAGTGTTTGTTATATACTACACAACACTGGGGCCTCACCTCACCAACAGGGTCTAGATCAGTGGTGGTGAGGAAGACACAGTGTTTGTTATATACTACACAACACTGGGGCCTCACCTACCAACGGGGTCTAGTCAGTGGTGGTGAAGAACCAGTGTTTGTTATATACTACACAACACTGGGGCCTCCACCAACAGGGTAATCATGGTGGTGAAGAGACACAGTGTTTGTTATATACTACACAACACTGGGCCTCACCTCACCAACGAGGTCTAGATCAGTAGTGAAGGAAGACACAGTGTTTGTTATATACTACACACTGGGGCCTCCCCACCACCAACGGTCTAGATCAGTGGTGGTGAAGGAAGACACAGTGTTTGTTATATACTACACAACACTGGGGCCTCCACCTCACCAACAGGGGTCTAGATCAGTGGTGGTGGGAAGACACAGTGTTTGTTATATACTACACAACACTGGGGCCTCACCTCACCAACAGGGGTCTAGATCAGTGGTGGTGAAGGAAGACACAGTGTTTGTTATATACTACACAACACTGGGGCCTCACCTCACCAACAGGGGTCTAGATCAGTGGTGGTGAAGGAGACACAGTGTTTGTTATATACTACACACAACACGGGGCCTCACCTCACCAACAGGGGTCTAGATCAGTGGTGGTGAAGGAAGACACAGTGTTTGTTATATACTACACAACACTGGGGCCTCACCTCACCAACAGGGGTCTAGATCAGTGGTGGTGAAGGAAGGACAGTGTTTGTTATATACTACACAACACTGGGGCCTCACCTCACCAACAGGGGTCTAGATCAGTGGTGGTGAAGGAAGACACAGTGTTTGTTATATACTACACAACACTGGGGCCTCACCTCACCAACAGGGGCCTAGATCAGTGGTGGTGAAGGAGACACAGTGTTTGTTATATACTACACAACACTGGGGCCCACCTCACCAACAGGGGTCTAGATCAGTGGTGGTGAAGGAGAAGACACAGTGTTTGTTATATACTACACAACACTGGGGCCTCACCTCACCAACAGGGGTCTAGATCAGTGGTGGTGAAGGAAGACACAGTGTTTGTTATATACTCACACAACACTGGGGCCTCACCTCACCAACAGGGGTCTAGATCAGTGGTGGTGAAGGAAGAACAGTGTTTGTTATATACTACACAACACTGGGGCTCACCTCACCAACAGGGGTCTAGATCAGTGGTGGTGAAGGAAGACACAGTGTTTGTTATATACTACACAACACTGGGGCCTCACCTCACCAACAGGGGCCTAGATCAGTGGTGGTGAAGGAGACACAGTGTTTGTTATATACTACACAACACTGGGGCCTCACCTCACCAACAGGGGTCTAGATCAGTGGTGGTGAAGGAAGACACAGTGTTTGTTATATACTACACAACACTTCACCTCACCAACAGGGGTCTAGATCAGTGGTGGTGAAGGAAGACACAGTGTTTGTTATATACTACACAACACTGGGGCCTCCACCTCACCAACAGGGGTCTAGATCAGTGGTGGTGGAAGGAAGACACAGTGTTTGTTATATACTACACAACACTGGGGCCTCACCTCACCAACAGGGGTCTAGATCAGTGGTGGTGAAGAGACACAGTGTTTGTTATATACTACACAACACTGGGGCCTCACCTCACCAACAGGGTCTAGATCAGTGGTGGTGAAGGAAGACACAGTGTTTGTTATATACTACACAACACTGGGGCCTCACCTCACCAACAGGGGTCTAGATCAGTGGTGGTGAAGGAGACACAGTGTTTGTTATATACTACACAACACTGGGGCCTCACCCTCACCAACAGGGGTCTAGATCAGTGGTGGTGAAGGAAGACACAGTGTTTGTTATATACTACACAACACTGGGGCTCACCTCACCAACAGGGTCTAGATCAGTGGTGGTGAGGGAAGACACAGTGTTTGTTATACTACAACACAGGGCCTCACCTCACCAACAGGGGTCTAGATCAGTGGTGGTGAAGGAAGACACAGTGTTTGTTACACACAACACTGGGCCTCACCCCAC